AAAAAAAAAAAAAAAAAAAAGGAATAATAATAATATTGCAGCGCGGCCGGGCGGCGGGGGGACACGGGGCGGGAAGGAAAAGGCAGGCAAGGCGGAGAAGCGGGGCCGGCGCGGGGCGCTGAGGCTGGCAGCGGCGCTCGGCGCCCCGCACCCGCTCGCCGCGGCGGCCGCGCGTGGGGGCCGGCGCCCCCGCGCAAGATGCACACGACGCAGAAGGACACCACGTACACCAAGATCTTCGTGGGCGGCCTGCCCTACCACACCACCGACGGCAGCCTGCGCAAGTACTTCGAGGTGTTCGGCGACATCGAGGAGGCCGTCGTCATCACGGACCGGCAGACGGGCAAGTCCCGCGGATACGGCTTTGTAAGTGCCGCGGCGCCGGGGCCACCTCTGGCCAGGGGGGGAAAGCGAGGAGGGGGCGGCACGGCCGTGCGGGGCTGCTTGGCTTCTTTTCTTTTTCTCTTTTCTTTTCTTTTCTTTTCTTTTCTTTTCTTTTCTTTTCTTTTCTTTTCTTTTCTTTTCTTTTCTTTTCTTTTCTTTTCTTTTCTTTTCTTTNTCTTTTCTTTTCTTTTCTTTTCTTTTCTTTTCTTTTCTTTTCTTTTCTTTTCTTTTCTTTTCTTTTCTTTTCTTTTCTTTTCTTTTCTTTTCTTTTCTCTCTTTTTTTTCCCTTTCTTTCGACGTCGCGCCTGTTGCTGCCTGATAGGGCCGGCCGGGCGCTATCGGCCGAGCCCGGCCCGCGCCCTCCGCCCTGCGCCGCCCGCCCGCGGTCCGTGACCCCCCCCCAGCCCCGCGTGGGGAGCCCGCGGCGTCGCATGGTGCGCGAGACCCACTGCAAGGCGCCCCACGCGTCGCCCTGCGCAGGTCACCATGGCTGACAGAGGCGCCGCGGAGCGAGCGTGCAAGGACCCCAACCCCATCATCGACGGCAGGAAGGCCAACGTGAACCTGGCCTACCTGGGCGCCAAGCCGCGGATAATGCAGCCAGGTGAGTAGCGGCCGCGGGGCTCGCGCGGGCCTGCCCGTTCCCCGCAGCGCTCCGTGGTGGCTGTGCCACGGATGGGGTTTTTAAGGACAACGCCTGGTAACTTTCTGCCCATTTTGCACCCGAGCCTTGTTTAAAAGTGAAAGGATGCGGGGATAAAAACATCTAAAGTTCCCTGGGAAGAGTTCTGCAGTTGAGACTCTTCACTGGTTATTCCCACTCCCGGGAACGCAGAGGCACTTACCATTTACAGTATCATTGCAGGGAAAGCCTGGCCAAGGCGTGAAGCGCTTCCAATGTGTGCGGTCCTATTAACATAAACAGTATCTTAATGCGAACTCCTGGAACAGATGGGAGTTATTATGCAGGCTTGAAAACGAAGCGGCTCTTCCCACGGCCATGTCGGAGCCCATCTGATGTCCTAGCGCCTTCCCAAACTGTTGCTTTTGCAGCAAGAGAGCCGGGAGCGCGCAGCCTGCGGACATTTATCTGCGGAGGCTGCTCTGACTTCCCAAGGGCCAAACCCAAGCAGTACTTGTGTGAGCAACGCGCTGCCCACTGAGGAGGGCACGCGCTCGGGCCTGGGCACCTGAAGGCAGAAGTGAGCAAGTGATGGAGGCAGTTTAGACCCCACGTGCGGAGGTGACTTGCATACACACCCGCACAGGGAGTGCAGCGAGTGCCCAGCTGCAGGGAGGGAGGGTTAAAGAAGTAACACAGTCTTTCAGAGATTTACAATAAGGGACCGGAAAGGAGCACAAAATAAGAAATGAATGACTTGTGCTTGTTGTTTAGACAAAGTTTTTCATTTAAACATCTCTAAGAATGAAAGGTGTATGTGTGCGCTTTACTGTTTAAGTTCTATGTACACGCGTCTGGCTGTATGTATTATATACATGATTTATTTTGCTTGCTAATTTGTGGTTCCATAACCTTTCGAAAATCTTCACTGCAGCCTGTGGGTGAAGGCTGTTACTCCGTGTTTTGTGTGTGTGTTTGTGTATGCACATAGAAAAGATAAGCAGCCAAAGAAACACCCATACAGAGAATGTGATGTGTTTTGTTGGTAGGTTTTGCCTTCGGTGTTCAGCAGCTTCATCCCGCTCTCATACAGAGGCCTTTTGGGTAAGTCTGTTTAATGGGACCTCAAACAGGGGAGGAAAAATCATTTTTAAAAGAGGAAAGAAAAGTAAGCTCTCTGAAGGCCTCTCGTAGTAGCAGCCTTGTAAATTCAGCAGCAATATTCAAGTTCTCAGACTTAAAAATACATACCCGTAAGTGTGCTCACTTTGTTGGTAATGTCCTAAAGGCCGTAGCTGAGTCAAGTTGTATGGGACGTGTCCATTGCAGCTACGCAGTCCCGTCCCGTATGACCCTATGGTAAAAGGAGGAGGTATGACTTTATGCAAGATTGCTGTGCCCCATTTCTCTTTTTTTTTTCAGCTTGACTCAATGTTATTTATCTCTTTCTAATCTGACAGGGGTCGTTTACAGTTAAGATAACTGATCAGAAGGATATGATGATAAGAGGTGGAATAGTTCTGTTTGGAATTAAGCTCTGTAACCAGTAGACTCAAACACAAACAAGCTAAAATGGTGATTAACGATGCATGTATGTTTTTTTCATATAGTCAATAGACCTCCGTGTGCTTTTTTTTTTTTTATTTATTTATTACAGTAATGAAGTGGTGTTGATAGCTAAACTGTGTGCTTTTATTTAATTGAAAGAGCTGTAGTGAAAGTTTTTTGGGGGTGTCTTTCTGATTTTGTTTTTGTTGTTGAGGAGTGACTTTGCCATGGGGAGCAAAGGGCCTTTTTTTTTCTTGCTTTCAAGCTGTAGCCTGTGATTTTTTTTTTTAACCGTATTTTGTAGTGAGTGCTAAATGGTGTGACTTCTTGACTTTTAAGTAAATCCACGTATTGCTTGCATGTTCGTAATTTTGGGGAGGGGGGTGCTGTTCTTGGGAGGGGTGTGGAGCTCCTTATTAACTGTGTACGTCCACTTGGGCTTTCTAATTGGAGATTTTTACTCCCTCCATGTGACTTTAATATGTAGTGCATTTCTCTTTCTCCTTGAGCATACTATTCCTGAGCAGTTCTAACTCTTGCTTCTTGTAGGTGTTTAACTAGAAGGTGCAGTTTGTGTTAAACTTTCCATACAGTGTCACCTCACTAATGCACACTGAGTGAGAAACTCGTGGCAAAATAATGCATTTTGCTAAGTAACGAGTAAGCTAACGGTGAAGTAGGGACAACGCGTCACAAATGTTTATAACAAGCGTTTTTATTTGACTAGGATAGCTTCAGAATATTGCAACTAGCTGTTCCTAAACCACAATAGCTTCTCAAGGGTGGGCTTCTCCCGCCCTCAAAGCTGTAGGAAATGTTTGCCTGCACTATTTGGGTACTTTTGCAAGAGAACGTTTCTTTTTCTGAAACACTTGCTGAAGCAGGTTAGAAACAAAATACGTACTTTTTGGTAACGATTATTGGCTGCTGTGTTTCGCTGGACTTCTCCTGGGCGTGAGGAGCGCCGAGCAGCCGGCACGCGGCGGTCAGTTGGGGCCACCTCGGTGGGGCAGGCGGGAGGGCAGCGCGCGGCCCAAGCGCCGCCGAGAAGCGGCAGCAGAGCGGGGCCCGCGGGAGGGCCGGCCGAGCGGCCGCGGAGCCCCGCGGCGAGGGGGAGCCTGCAGCGAGCCCCGGCTTAAAGCGGGTGGGAACGCGGGGCTCCTCTGGGCTCCGCCAGCCCTGAGCCAAACACACGGCACTTACTTATGGCACAGGCCAGGAAAACTTCTTCACCAGGCTGAATAAAGTTTACTTTCTAATGCAGTGTATGCCAATCTGCAGGAATACTGCTAACAGGGTCATCTGCGTGTGTCCAATTGGTGGCATATGTTGTTTTATTTTAATCCTGTGTGTTGCCTTTCTTCTGTTATGTGGAAACAAAGGAGATTACTAATCCTGCTTCCTATTCCATCCTGCTTCCTGCTCCAAGCTTCCAATAACCTGTACCTTTTCTACAGAGCAGAGTCCAGGTTAGGCAGAACTGCAGACATCTGACTGGGCTGTAGAAGTCACTATTTTCATTCTCTCTACTCCCTGGCAATGAGTAGGGTTGTTTCAGTGTTTACTTGGATCTACTTTTATCTAAGAGTTCACTTTTCGAAAGTGTTCCATGGGTTACACTGAAATACTTGGTTACTTCAAAAGCACTCTTCCTCCTGTGCAGGGTGCAGTTTTTAAAAGTGTATTTTACTAGTAAGCTGTGTGAAATGGGTTATGGTGGAGATAGGCTACCAATACTCTGCTAATCCACACATAAAAGGTCCAAGCGTTTTGTTTTCTCCTACCAGAGTGCAAATTAGGGAGGCTCTGCCATATTCTGGTATGGTCAGCAGTGTTTTGTCATGGGTCCACCTATCAAGCAAGAAACTGAAAATAATTGGATTATGCTACATTACTTTTACTGAGAAGATGCAGAAGTACAGTATTCTGAATTAAGTACAACATTACTGTGGTGAAGGGAGCCAGAAACTAGATTAGTGTCAATGCATGAAGCATTTAAAATGCTGGGAATTTTTCTTTATTCCATCCTGCAGAGATCAATTTGGCCACCAAATAACATTTCTCCCTGCTCTCCACATTTAGCATCTTTCTTTATTAATGCTGGTCTTGTCCTAGAAAGTTGTCTGATTGCAGCACTGATGTTTGACAGTGTTTATTAAAATGGTACCTTAGCAAGAATTTATAGAAAGGGAAGGTGATTTTTATCTACAACCTCATATAAATTTTCTCCTTTTGAATGTATATTTTTGTTGAACTGTTGGTGGAAAAATACAGGTTTGTCCTAGAATAGGAAATCATTCATTCTGTGGGAGAGATTTCCCCCTCCTCCCCATTTTTGTCTGAAATGTGCCCCTGAATCAAAAAGGAGACATTTCCTCATTTTAAAGTCAGCCTGGATTTAAATCCCAAAGTACCAAGTCCATTCAGCTGGTTAGCTGACACTGTCTGCTCTGCTCCTCCAGCAGCGTGGCAATCTTGCCTTCCTTAAGAGGGAAGGAAAAGCCCTGTCGCAAGTTTATGAACAAAAGACCTGTCTAATATTCGACTGCTGATACTCTGTAAATAGGGAATGAAACTGGAGCAGGCAGAAGTTAACCTGAAGATTACTAAATGGCATTGTGATGTTTTTAGCCACAAATATTAAAGGAAGCATGTTTGGGGCCACGTTTGTCTTGGTGCTTACGTAAGCTATCTCTACAATATGGAAAGCAGTTCACTGAATAAAATGTACTTTTTAGTCATACTTATAAAACCAGATGATGCAATTCAAGCTCCAGAGGAAAACATTTCATTCCAAGTTAAATAGCTACTTGCTCAAGTATTTAATGTTGAGAGTCACTTACTTGCTATTGTTGCTGAGTTTCCATACGCCGCAGCTCTTTGGAGCTCTTTGGATTAGTCTAGACTGTGTCCTCCCTGTGGTGGTTAGAAACAATTAGCTATCACTTCATTAGTGCTTATATAATTATTTTCTGAGCTCTTAGTTACACAAAGATCTATTGTTGTAATATTGCAAATCCTAAGGCATTTGGCAAGAGTGTATTTCATTTCATTTTGGATATGCCCAGAATACACTTACTATTAAAGTTAAATGTGGCTTTCCTTCTCCTTCATTGCAAACCTTTAAAGCAAAGGCATATCCAGCAAAAGAGGGAATCGCTTTATCAACTCTTGACCTAGCGTTAAAAGCAGGCAGTTTCCAATAGGCCTCTGCAGTAGGTAGAATTTACTTTGGCCATATAAAGCCATTTTACTCGCCTCTGAAGAACTGCAGCATGACAGATGATCAAAAATAGCCCCGGTGCAGCTTCCCCTGTCAATCAGCATGTGTGAAATGGCAGGGTGGTGAGCCGCCTGCCCAGGGTCTGTGTACAGGGCAGGGTAAGATGTTGCAAGCAGATAATGTTTCATAACTTCACCACCTGTTAGCTCTTGGCTTAAATAAAACACAAATGGGAGCACATGCATCTCTCTGTCTTGTTCAAGTATATGGACAACTGTCCTAATACCTCAAGAAAATCTTAGTGCTATCAATTCTCCTGCCTCGAGAAAATGTCTTTCGCAGGGTGACCTAAGCATCCCAATAAGCTTGCTTTCCACCTCTCTGCTGCTAGACTATCTCTATTTTGCACCTACAGTATGTTAAAAAAATCAAAAAACTCTGATGTGATATTAAATGGATTCTTATATGATGCAGAGGAGGATCTCCGTTTTTTTTTTTTTCCAATATTGTGCAATAGTTTATAATTTGCAAAAATGTTTTATTCCTCTTTCATTAATACTTAAAAAAATAGTGTTGTATTTATTAGGATGGTACTTGATTGGTAACCAATACAAAATGCTTGCACAAGCCCATGCATTTTGTATGGGAGCCCAGGTGAGGATGCATGATTAAACGGCAGAGCCAGCTTAAGCAGGCTTCAAATGCACTTCTGGCTAATCACTTCATAAATTAGGTGAGTCTTAAAAACCCAGCTTACTGTTTTATGTTTTCTTTCCCTCCTCAAGCCCTATTTGTCACTCTGCTATTTTCTGCATCCCTTCATACAGAGGGAATTGAGTTCCCTGGCTGGTTGAGTTTTTATGGTGGTGTCCATTCCTAAGCACCGTGGCTGAGCCAGCCCTGCTCTCTGCTAATACTTCCACTCACTCAGCTGTCTGAGCCTCTTTTTTTCTTCTTTTTCTTAAGAAGAAAACCGGGCGGTTTAAAGCCTGACTATCACTTGTTTTAAAATACATTTTGCTATAAATCTAGACAACAGCATCCCTTATGACTCGAATGTTTCCTTGTTGACCACTTAAGTAAAACTCGAAGTTATTTAACAAGTCAACATTTTCCATTAAATCTTGCATTTCAAGAAAAGAGGACAGACTTTGCACCACTATAATTTTCATCTGTGTTTACTGTGCATCAACAGACTAGCATTGTCTGTAAAGGTAAATTTCAGTTCTGTCGAATAATTCATTTGCACAAGCACATGTTCATGGTTTTTTTAAGATCCATCTAGAAATCAGAAATGAGTTCCATGTATGAAGGACTTCTGTGTGGAAATCCAGATGCAAGACAAGGTTATAAACGTAAAACGAAATTACCACTGAAAACATTCTTTTTTTAAAAACTGTATTATATGATGAAACACAACTATGAGATCGACTGGTATGTACGCTTGTGTGCTGAGATGATGGCATAACCAATGTTCGGAATTGAAGGGCTGAGCAAACAAACCAGGGAAGCACGTGCTGGGACCTGGAGGAAATGGAAAAGTGTGTGTACTGATTTGTTCAGAATGGTAATTTCTAAAGCCAT